GGAGTGTTCTGGTGGCTGCCCTTCCGCCTCCAGGCAGAGCTCCTGAGAGGGCCTCTCCAGGCCGGAGCCCAGGAGGTTTACTTCTGCATGCCTGCCCGCTCCTGCCAACAGCCTCGGAGGCCCTGGGCTGCCACTTCAATGAAAAGCTGTCCTGTGCCCTGTTCCATGTCCTATGTACATCCTGGACAAACCACAGGGCTCTTTACAGCATGGGTTGGTAAAGATTGGTGCCTACCCTGCATGGCCGCCCCACCTAAGGCAGAGTCTCTCAGGCCTGCGTCCCCCGGCGCCCCCACCCCATCGTCCTGGGACACAGCATCCATCTCCCTTCTCTTAGCTGGCTGGCTGGGTACCTCGGCTGCTGCTGCTGATCAGTGGCGCACTTGGCCACCACTTCTCTGCCGTCAGTGGATCCCCCTCATCATTCCCTTTCTGGGGGCCACCGGAACTACCCCCTCTTGCTTCCCTAAAGATACTCTTCAGTGTTGCAAGATGACCCAGGGATTTCCAGCGGTGGTCCCCACTTTTTCATCTCTCCCTCTCCCTTCCCTGCTTTTTAGCTCACAATCTTGGGGGGCAGGTGGCCTGGGGTTTGAAGCCTCCACTATTCCTGGCCTGTCCATGGAGGGCAGACATGGGGACACTCCAGGCTCTGGGCCCAGCTCCTCTTAAACCAGCTGTGTGACTGAGGGTGGGAGAGCCATCTCTCTCCAACCCCTACGAAATCAATTTTGTCACCCTTAAAATTGAGGAGTATACTGATAGCAACGCAGCAGCTTCCTTCTGCTCTAAGCTCCTCAGATGCTATAAAGTACACAGAGGGGGAGAGGCTGCTGGACAGCTGGCCCCAGCCTGACCCACATCCTCACAGCCAGCTCCCCAAAACAAGGTGGCAGCCCCATCCCACAGACCTAAGAGCAAGGAGCCTCTCTGAGGCTGACACCCTGAGGCTGGTTCCCAACAGCATGGAGGGAGAAGTCCAGAAACCAGCACTAAAGCATGCTTCTGAGGGCCTCTGTGCCTCAGTTTCCTCATCTGTGAACCCCAGGATGCTCTGGAGGAGCAGAAAGAGCCTGGGGTAGGAATCAGGGAACCCAGTTCAGACATTTGCTTGGGTCACGTGCTACACAGGGTAAGACCAAAATTGTGTAGAGTCAAAATGAACCAACACAAAGTCTCTCAGCAGGTCCAATATGACCCCCTTTTTTTTTTAACCCTCACCTGAGGATTTTTTTTTTCCATTGCTTTTCAGAGACATTGGAAGGGAGAGAGAGCAAGAGAGAAATATCGATGTGAGAGAGACACATCGGTTGGTTGCCTCCTGCACACACCCCGACCAGGGCCGGGGATCGAGCCTGCAACCGGAATTGAACCTGGGACCCTTCAGTCCGTGGGCTGACACTCTAACCACTAAGCCAAACCGGCGAGGGCAGCCCATTTGTAATCTAGAAAGAGGGCTGTTTCTCCACCTGATCCCCCAATAAAGCAGCTAGCTGGCCTTCTCCATCTCAAAGGGGTTAAAAAAATGAGTAATAAGAAATGCAGTTAAAAGGCCACCTGCTATGTGGACACAGGGACAGTGGAAGAACTGTTTCAAAAGTTTCTGTTTTGCCGGCTGAGTGTGGCTCAGCAGTTGAGCATGGACCTAGGATCTAGGAGATCGCAGTTCGATTCCCAGTCAGGGCATATGCCCGGTTGCAGGCTCAATCCCTGGTGGAAGCTGTGCAGGAGGCAGCCGATCAATGACTCTCATCATTGATGTTTCTCTCTCTCTCTCTTCATCTCTCTGAAATCAATAAAGATATATTTTTAAAAAGAGCTTCTGTTTTACAGCTGTAGACACTGGGCTGAGTTGAGGTGAAGAGGGGCCACCTGGGATGGAAAACAGAGGGAGGGGGCCTCCAATTCCCATAACACAAGAAGGTCCAAGCCACCCACTGACAAAACATCTTAAATTTGGGCGTTCTTTCCCAGAGGACACCTGGAGAGCAGGATGGGAAGGGTGCCCCTGGGGCTCATAAAGGCTGGGCTGGGCTTCTATAAACCCCCTCCTGCCTCCTTCCACTTCTGGAAGGATCCCAGGGCCCAGAATCATAAAAGCTGATCTGTAAGAATTTCCACCAGCTCCCCTTGAAAGCTAGGAAAGGGGAGACACACACACACACACACACACACTATCCATTCCCCAAAAGTAGTACCCCATAAGAGTCATCAACCTGAGCTGATCAACAGAGAAGGTGACAAGGAGACCTGGAACAGTGATACCCAAATAACAAGAACCACATGTCCCCTTAAATGTCCTAAAAGCCACTCTACAGAAGGTAAAAAGAAGAATGTGACATTCATGACACAATACATTTTGCTTAACTCAATATACCCAAAATGTTATCATCTCAACATGCAATCATTACTTAAAAATGATCACTGTGCTATTTTATACTCCTTTTATTATCCTCGTGGCTTTGCAGTCAGCCGTGTTTTTTACACTCGGAATCAGTGGCTCATGTTGCTATGTGGACGGCACAGCTCTAGAGGAGAGAGGTAAGGGAAGTGAGAGGATGGGGAGAAGGGCACAGGGAAGGGGAAAAACATCCTCGAGGTGATAGCAGTGTCCTGTCCGCCTGCCGGAAGCAGAGGCTGTCCTTTGCCGGTGACGAGTGCATTATATGTCATTCCGGGCCTTAATGTCTCTGATCTTTGCACCCACACTCCATGGGCTGCCAGGAGGTGAAACAGCATCTCAAGCCTGCCCCTCCGGGGCGGAGGGGGCTTGCCTGGAAGGAGGACCTTCTGCAGAGCGCCAAGCCAGTGTCCTAGGGCCCACAGGGGGTCCTCAAAGGAGAACTTCCAACTCCTGCCTTCCTGACACCCATGTCTCCTTTAGGAGTGGGGAGCTAGGCGGGGGCTGGAGGCTGCCAGCCTGCTTATGGGGTGTGGGAGAGGATGGGCACTCCAGGGACAGGGTCTTACCCTGGGATGCAGAGGGACCCCTAGGGCCTGGGGCCCACGGAGCGTGTGCACACGCGCTGGCCTGGGGAGGTCGACAGCTTGTGGGGACCGTCCCAGGGGCCCGAGACTCCCTGCGAGAAGGGCGTCGCCCAAGCCCCGCCCGGTGAGGCCTGGGCAGGTGGGGGCCCCTTACCTTCCTTCAGCATCCCCACTTTGAGGCATTTCATGAAGCGGCAGGCCTGGCAGGACTTCCTCCTCCGTTTCGTGATCTCACACTCGTTGGTGGCCGGGCAGCTGTACTCGATGTTCCCTGGAACCAGACACAGACAGGGTTGCCAGGCGCCATCCAGGGCCCCGCCCGCCCGCCAGAGGCTGGATGGGGATCAGCCGGCCACACCTACACTGCCCCCCACGCCGAGGTGCCCATGGGGCAGCGGTTCTCAAAGTAGGTGCCGAGGAACTTGTCGAAATGTTTCCAACCCTCTTAAATAGGGAAACCCCAGTTCCTGAGTCCGGGTGGGCCAGGCGGCCACAGGTTTGAAACACAGTCAACCCACTGGGCTGGGACATCAGAACTCACTGAGGGGCTGTCCTCAGGCTTCAGTGCACCTCAGTCTCCCCACATGGCAGATGGAAGCCATTTACTATTGAGAACACACGTGAGGCAGGTTCCACCACCGCCAAGGTGCTTAGAAGTAATGGAACTACTGAGTCCCAGTGACAGCGCCTAACTGTGTGCTACACTCACAGCGGCTCCGTGAGCCCTCTCATTCCCATTCTGTACTGGTGGGAAACTGAGGCTCACAGAGGTTGATTTGCCCAGGGTACTTTAGAGATTGCGCTCTCTCTCTCTCTCTCTCTGAAGTCCAGGCGGCCCACACCTTTTTCCATCCCATTTTCTGCAGGGAGGGGCCTAGAGGTCAACCTCTGTGCTTGAGGCTGGGAGGAGGTAGGAAGGGAAGGGATAAAGATTCTGTGTGCCCCTCTCCTCTATTACCTAACCTTAACCATTTCTTAGGTCACTCTGGCTTGTGTGGCTTCTTGGGAAATAATTTCAATATTCACATAAGCATGGTAAAATTTAAAAGGTAAATAGAAGGGAGAGAAACTCATACCTAAACTAATTTATCCAAGTCTGTCCTGGCTTAGAAGTTCTGTAGAATCTGACCCTGCCCCCACACCACCCCACCCCACCCGTGTCTCCAGCCTTAGCGTCCCTGTTGCTCTGCATGATTATCAGTTCCTGGAACTCAGTGATTCAGGCTTCCAGGGCTTGCTCTGGCTACTTAGAACAAGCCCACTCTGCCCCCTGCACCTCCTCTCCTGGCCTGTGTGCACCTCCAGGTCCCACTTAGGTACGTGTTCCTTCTCCATCCCATCACCTGTGTTGCAACTATCTGTCTCCTCCAGGATCAGCTCCTTTCTGTAGTTCAAGTGCCTGGCACACAATAGGTGCTCAGTGCACACTGGGAGCGAATACTAATCGGTGCTTATTAGGAAGCAGCTACAGTTCTGCTTTCCATACATTGAACCTTTCACTTTTCCGAGAACCCTGGTGGTCTTTCTCTCCATCTCACATGAGCGAGGTGGTCAGAGTCCAGAAGGAGGCAGAGCAAGGCCTTGAACCCAGGCCACCTGGTCTAGTCTCTGCTCTGGAGCACTGCAGCGAGCTCCCAGGGACCACCATGACCCTACTTTCAGCAGCACGGTAACTCTGCTGCATTGGGTTACCACTCGCACACTGCTAACTATTCATGTTCCCTGGTCTCGGCTGCACAGCCAGCCAGCAGTTGAAGGAGGACAGGTCCCAGGTTCCTCAGGGCTGTTGTTCCAGCAGAGGGTCAATAAATGTCTGCTAATGTGACACCGGTGCTCTCCCAGGACAAGAGGAAAGAGCGTTAACAAGACTTGAGCCATGTTCTTGACCCTTTGTGCATGTGTGTGTGTGAGAGAGAGAGAGAGAGTGAGAGAAGGAGGGGGGAGGGAGGGAGGGAGAGAGAGAGTGAGCGAGTTTTCTAATTTTATTTATTTTTGTTCCTTTCAATTTGTTTTATGGCCCCAGCGGCTGGCTGCCAGCAAAGCCAGGCTGGTGGCCTTGTAATTTCTGTAAGTGCCTCCTCGATAAAGTGATGAGATTAACTCATCGGAATTCCTGTGGTCTCTTCAGGGCAGTCTAGGAGAGCTCAGGAGCAGAGAGAGGCATCTGTCTCACACATACACACACCATCACCACCCCCACCAACCTCAGGTGTGGCAGGTTTGGGATGGATCTCACAGGACAGAGACATGGTCAATAGCTAGCACAAATTCAGGGTTCTAACCTGAAAGTGTGAGCAGTGTAGACACAGGCAGACTCCACTGCAGGCAAGTCACCTAACCTCTCTGGGCCTCAGTTTCCTCATCTGTTAAGTGGGCACAGTATGTTTCTATCGCATAACATTGTGAGGATTTGGTAACAGGAAGCACATAAAGGGCTTAGTGACACTCATGCATGGGCAAACAAGCAATCGAGATTCCTGTGCTTATTTTTACCTCTAGGCAGGGTTGCCAGTGCACATGCAACAAGAGGACTCCTGGGTAAGTCTTCTCCAGGTGCCAGACCTGAAAATAGCCACCCACTCTGACACTTCAGAACATTAAGATGGGCCTTCCACAGCTAGACCTCAGAGTTGAGGCTGTGTGTGCCTGAGGGAGGGAGGCAGGAATGTCCAGAGCCTGACCTGGATTTCTGTGTGACCTTGAGGCAGAGGGGAAATCCCCACCGTCAACTCTCTTTGATCCTGTGCCCCAGGAGAAGGAAAGCCCAGGGACATCCCCATCCATTAGCTGTCCTTGAACAACAGCAGGGAGCAGCAGTCCTTTCTTGGGGCTCAGGGATAGGGGCTGCTGAGCTCAGATAAACAGCTGTGGGGGCTGTGGGTTCAGGGATGGGACTGCTGGCTAACTCCAGAGCCTGAATGGCCACTACGTTAAGCTGCTGGGGTGAACAGGCTGGGCTGGTAGTCCCTTGGTTCCACTCCCTTCTCCACCTCACTCCTGGAGGACAGGGACTATCCCTTCATTTCTGTGTGGTCCCCTGTCCTCAGGTCTCCTTCTTTCCCTCCTCTTCTCCCACTGGCTGCATGATCTCCTGCCACTGGCCTCAGATGTCACAGAATCGGCAAAGATGGGCAGCCAGACTCGCTGCCTGGCCTTCACACCCTTATATCCAACTGCCTGCTGGTTATTTCCATCTGGAAGTCCCTTGGGTTCCTCACACTGAACCCATCCTCACCCAGCCTCTTACTATGTTCCAAGTCTCAGCAAAAGGGCCACTGGCCACCTCACCACCCAGGTCAGATACTGAGGTGGAAACTTCTAAGATCCTTTTTATCTCCCTCTTTCCCCTTCTGCCTCTGCTGCTTTCAACTCTCAGCATCTCTTGCCTCATCTCTAGCCTCCTCTGTCTCCATTCCCCCTCCACCCCGCCTGTGGGGGGACATTAACTTCCCTGTGCAAGATCCCCCGACGGACCTCTGGTTCATCAGGGCACACTGAACACGGGTCTGCGGGCCTCCCCAAAGCCCACTACAGGGCAGTGCAGGCGTGAGAACTGTCACAGAAGAATGGAGGAAGTAGAAACCAAAGTCACCCAGGTAAGAACTAAGCCCTTTGTCCTGCAGAGCCTCAGAAAGCCTCAGGTGTTGAAGACTCAAACTCAGCAGAGGAGTGAGGTGTGAGGCTGGACATGGGAATTTGCTGGAAGTCTGTACTTATGGAGGGCTTAGCTGCCCATCCCGGTGGTCACCAAGTACCTCCCCAGGACCTGCACAACAGAAGCCAACATAGTCCCTGGAGAAGGTGTGAAGGCGAAGTCTGGACTCAGGGACCCCAGCTGAGGGCAGGAGGGAAGTTGAGGCTGAAAAGATGAATGAATACGGCATCCTGAACAGTGAGGCCAGCCAGCCCACCCCTAAGCCCACTCCCAGAGTTCTGGCAGCCAGGCGAGCACCCCGCCACCAGCCCAACCTGAAGATGGGAATGCGTAGGGTCCTTCTCTAAGAATGAAGAGCGCCAGAGAAAAGCCCAGCAGGCGAACATAAGCCAAGGGGATGCCTCTTCTATGCTTTTTATCCCTCTTTGCCTTGAAAACAGTCAAGGATTACCAATCCATTTATGAAAAGCCTTCATGATGAAAGACTAACCAAAACAAATGGGGGAGCCTGGCCAGGTGTGGCTCAGCAGTTGAGCATCGAACTAGGATCCAGGAGATCGCAGTTTGATTCCCGGTCAGGGCACATGCCTGGGTTTCGGGCTCAATTCCCAGTCGGGGGCATGCAGGAGGCAGCCGATCAATGACTCTCATCATTGATGTTTCTCTCTCCCTCTCCCTTTCTCTCTCTGAAATCAATAAATATATATATATTTTTAAAAATGGGGGACAAGCATGTGGGAGGAAACCAGGACAAATCAGGAAGCGGAAATAAATCCCCCAAAGCAGTAATCAATATACTGTTGACCTGAGAACAAAAAAATGCTACATTCATGAAATAAGAACAGTACTCAATATAAAGAAAGTATAAAATGGGGATCACAGAAATTCAAAGTATGAAAGCCACAAAAAAGTCAAAGAACTGTCTACAGAGCTACTTACTCTAGAACAGACAAAAAGTCAAAGAAGTGGACAATAGGCCAGAAAAGATGGAAGAATTACCAGACTGATCCTGGAAGCTCCATAGCCAACCGTCAGGAGTTTCTGGTGGAGAGGATGGTATCACAAAGGGAGAAACGAAGGGAGGGAGGGAGGAAAATCCCTAAGACCTAAGGAGTATGAGTTTCCGGACCAAAGGGCCTGCCGGGAGCCTAGAAGAATGAATGAAGAAAGACCTGGACAAAACTACAGAGGTGGAAAACAAATTAGCTGCCAGGGGTTGGGGAGCGGGAGAGACGGAGGCGGCGTGGCTATGAAAGAGCAGCGCCAGGAGTCCTATGCGATGGGCCCGTTGTGTACCTTGACTGGTGGTGGTCACAGGAATCTACAGTGATAAAACTGCATAGGACACACCACCCGCACACACTCACAACTTGTGCACACACTCACTGCTCTTTTTTCTACTGAGCACTCACTCCCCTGACTTCGTTTATTTATCTTTATTGTCTGCTTTGTTCTCTGCAGGTTCCCGGCACCTAGAACTGTGTCTGGAAATGAGTGAGGCCTCCACATACATTTTCCAAGTGAGCGAAGCACATTTCTTGACAGAAGCACTAGAAGCCAGAAGACAAAGCAGCAAATATCCAAATGCTGGGGGGAAATTATTTTCGACTAGAATT